ACAGGCACCAGAGAGTGCACTGCAGACTGAACTTCAGTTTCTCACCAGTTCTGCAGAAGGGAGACTGGGTGTCAGAAGTCCCACTAGTGACAGAAGATAATGTTTACATACATCTAGTTTTCGCAATGGGGCTTGTACTCCATGAATGAAAAGGGGGGGGCGTGGCATCTCAGGAAAGGTCCTCTAATAACATGGAGTGACAGAAAGTAGGAATTGCCTATGAGCCTCTCTCGATTCATATGTTCAAGACCCTAGGCCTCTAGAAGAGGTAGGTAGATGTAAAGATTCAAAAAAAAGAGATAGACAGATGGTAGATAGGTAGATGATAGATAGATAGATAAATAGATAGGTAGGTAGGTAGAATGTTGTAGGCATAGTTCTAGTAAAAACTAATCTGATACAAGCATATGTCAGTGTTCTGGTTTGGGAGAACGTGTCTCTCCAAACTTACAGGGAATCTGAATTCCCAGTGTGACAATGTTAAGAGAGGAGCCATTGCAGAAGCAGTCAGCTTTGAGGACTCGGTCCTCATGAATGGTATTCCTGTCCTTATAGAAGGCTGCGGGAAGGGAGTCAATTTCTTTTTGCCTTCTCAACTCCATGAAGACACAGAAAGTACCATCTATGATAAACAGGCCATCAGTGGAATCTACTCTGCTGGCACCATGATCTTGAACTTCCAAGCTTCCAGAACTGTAAGAAATACTTTTTTTTTCAGTTTATAAGCTATACAATCTCTGGCATTTTGATATAATAGTATTAATAAACTATGATGCTCAGCCTATACGTACATACAAGTAGCACTGACATATTTGTTTCTGGTAGACACTTTATACTTTTTACTTTACATATTTATGCTAATTGCCATTTTAACTGATGGCCAATTTATAATTCAAGATTAAATTAAGCAAAGCATGTGGTTCTTGAGTTTTGTGTCGTGAGGCAGGCAGATCAGGGAAACTCTGAGAATGGAGTCTGGGACCCAGACCTAAGACTTACCATATCTCTATCTTTACAGTTGGAACCAGGTGGAAGGAAACATCTGGGGAAGTTTCCAAGGGACCTTCAAGGGACAGTTTCAGAAACATGGCATTGGTATGGACACAGAGGAGGAGCGTTTAATGCTGTGATGGATGTGTCTTACGAGTGTCACCTACCTGTGACACTTGTGTTCATTCACACCAGTTAATGCCTTCTTTGTGGCAAGAGGGAAGAGGTGCCAGACATTTGGCAGGTACAGTAGGGTGCTGAGTTACCTTCCCATTTCTTTGACAACAAAGTTGAGAAAATCAGTTGGAAAGGAGGTCATTTTCCCTCCAGGTTTCAGGGCTTCAGGCCCACATTCGCCTTACCCTGGTTGCTCTATACCCTGCTGGTACAGTATCTCATCGGGGTAGCATGTGGTAGAGTTGGCCAGGAAGCCAAGAGCAGTGGTTTTCAGTGTTCCTAATGCTGCAACCCTTTCATACAGTTCCTCATGAGATTATTTTGTTGCTACTTCAAAACCATAGTTTTGCTACTATTATGAATCATAATGTAAATATCTGAGATGTGGTCCTCCTGGGGTCGCGACCCACAGATTGAGAACCACTGGCAAAGCGTGACAAGAAGAGGTCAGGGGCCCAATATCCCTTCAAGGGCATGCTGCCAATGCTCTAACTTCTCCCGTAGGCTGCACCTTTTAAAAGTTCTACCATTTCCCATTAGTGCCTTGGACTAAGGACCAACCTCTTAACAAACGAACCTTCGGGGATGCTTCATGTCCAAACCATAGCATGTACATAGTTCTCTCTGCTATATTTCTATCTGAAAGAGTTGTGCCTACCACAGAGTGACCTCATCTTATCAGGTCTTTGTAGACAAATTTCTAAACAGTCTTATTAAATAAGAAACACAGAGCCAAATGCAGAGGTAACAGCCAAAGAGATCAGAGCAACAGCCACGATTAGCCTTAGCTTACCACCAGCAGTAGCTTCCATAGAGAGAGCTTCTTCCTGTGTAGCCTGTGTTTTTATTGCCTTCCTATTCTGCCTTCTCATTGGTTCTAAGCCCAGCCACATGACTTCCTCGTCACTGCCTGTCTATACAGACCTCCAGGTCTCTATGGTTGGTACTGGGATTAAAGGCATGTGTCACCACGCTTGGCTGTGTCCTTGACCACACAGAGACTCTGCCTGCCATCTGATCGGATGAAGGGAGTGGGCTACCACCGCCTGACTTCTGTTTATGGCTATTTGACCTCTGATCTCCAGGCAACTTTATTTATTAACATACAAATAAAATATCACATTTCAGCACAAATAAGGTATCACCACCGGTCTTCCTACAGCCAATTAATTAATTCTCCGTCTCACATTTAAAATTTTATTACATCACACACATATTACCTCCCCCAGGCCACAATTTTAAGTATACAACTACTGGAATTTTAGACAGGCATATACCCTTGTGCACCATGTATATGCAGTGCCTGAGGAAGCCAGAAGGGGGCACTGGATCCTCCCTGGGAACAGAGTTGTAGACTGTTGTAAGCTATTATGTGGTTGTAAGCCATTATGTGGTCCTCTGCAAGGGCAGCAAGTGCTCTTAACCATTGAGCCATCTCCCCAGCCCCCCCCCCTCAATGTTCTAACTCCTATCACCAACAATTAGCTTCTTACATTTTGTAACATCATATAAATAAGATAAAACCACAGTATTATGTTTCTGTCTGTCTTCTGTGAGCCAAATAAATGTGACATCCATCCGTGTTGTGTCTATCAGTGGTTCTAAATTAAGCCACACTTAAGCTTTGATTATATGAATATACCTAAAACTGTTTATCCTTCATGCACTCAGGACAGTAGGGTTGTTTTTAGTTTTTCCTTTTGCATTTTAATGAACAGATTGGTAGAAAGTTTCCTGCTTGTCTTTTCTTGGTCCTCTGCATTCACTTCTCTGGTACCACCGAGAAGAAGAACTGCCGGGTACGCCAATTCTGATGGACCCCAATCTACTTAACATTTAGAGAGGCCAGTTTTAAATTTTTTTTTTTTTTGGTTTTTCGAGACAGGGTTTCTCTGTGTAGCTTTGCGCCTGTCCTGGAACTCACTTGGTAGCCCAGGCTGGCCTCGAACTCACAGAGATCCGCCTGGCTCTGCCTCCCGAGTGCTGGGATTAAAGGCGTGCGCCACCACCGCCCGGCCAGTTTTAAATTTTTTTAAAAATCTATTTTAGTGGTATTTTTTTCATGAGCCCCATGAAAGTTGGGTGTGTTTTCACATGCTTACTGGCCATTTAGAATTCTTCATTGTTAAGCGACTGTTCAAGTAGCTCATCATTTTCAATGGGACATTCTTGTATAAGGAGAGCTACACAGAGAGAGACAGGCTCTACTTGGTCCTCAGTTAAGACAGGAGATAAGCACACAGAGATGTTATTCTGTCAGGACTTGACCAGAAAAGCAGAACCCTTGTAAAGGATGTGGACTGAGTTTGCTGAGGGAGGTAGGGGCTGGCGGATGGGATGAGAAGCTGTGAAGTTGGTTGGGACAGGGGTGCCATGTGGAGCAATAGGGACAGACAGACCTGGCCTGCCTTTTGTCTGTTCAACCTCAGTGATGCAGAAGACCAAGATGAAAGGCTAAGAACCTCTATAACAGCACTCCCCACACCCCTGATTAGGACTTTGGTGACACTGAGGAGGAATACCTGGTGGAGACAAGGGGATCTCAAGTCAAGGGGGAGAGAAGGGGCGTCACAAAGAACCACACTGTACTTTTTCCTTCCAAATATCACACAACTTTCTCTCCTGTTCTCCCTGACTTTAGAGCTCACCAGGAAGGAGTTCTAAGAACACAGGCCCCACATGGCTAGGCTGGCACCAAAGGAGGCAGCTGTGGCCCTGCAGACTGGGGAGATGCAGAACTCTGAGGACCACCTAACCAATTCTTAGTCCTGGAATGTTCATTTGTAAGTGGCAAATCATGTAGGAACATTTTCATTATTTTGCTAATGCTGCCTAGATGCCATATACAAGTGGGCTTAGATGGGTCATCTTTGAGGCAGCCATTTAATTATTTTTCCCTTCTCCCTCCTCCTCTGTGTCTTCAAGAAAAAAAAAACTTATAGGTTTTGTCCCCACTAAGGGGGGTGGTCCTTCATCGCACAAGACTGAAATCAGAAGGGGTCCTTTGCCATCTCTTGTGACTTTAAACCAATTCCGAAGAAAGAGGATCTTGTAGGTGTGTGTACCCTGAAGCATGGAGGCAGACACATGCCAGAGTGTTATGTGTGTGCAGATGGCCAGCATCACAAAAGATCCTAAGGAGGACCATCTCCAGTTCATAGCTTGCTCTCTGAGTTCTGACCATCCTGGGCAGCAAGATGAAATCCTGCTATTGAGGCACAAGGGGCAGGTCCTGCACTCCTAGACCTGTTCATCCATAGATTCTGTTTCTGAGTATCCAGATTCACTTCACCAGGACTGGAGTTACCCACAATGCAAGTCTGTCTATCTCCGTTTCTCCAGTTTAAAAGGCACAAAGAGTAGGATGGGGTTATTTTGGACAGCTTATGTTTTATTTAAATGTTACATGTGAGATCTAAATAACAGAATCATACTCTCTGACTCACATTCATCTTGTGGTCACTTGGGGCCCTTAGATTTTTTTTAATCAATTGCTCATCTCCCCCCCCCCCCCCCATTTTCATGTCTCTAGATGACAGGCTAGTAACCTTGTATGGACTAAATATGGGCAGGGCTAATTGACATAAGATAAACTGCAAGGGATCTACAATGATACACTGAAAAAGAAGTCCCCCACACTTATTTCTTTTTTTCTGGAAAAAATCATTTTATTTCTATCCAATTAAGTGATATCATCTTTCAATATTGTTTACTGGTCTGTCCCATTGCTAGGCTCTGGTCATTCCCCCAAGTCTTCTGAGTCCTTAGTGACTAGGAATTTCCATTCTCCTTCAGACAGCAAAACAAGCCTCCCCCACCCCCACCCCCACCCCCCCACGCGCCCCTCCTTTCCTCAGCTCCTGCCTGAGCTCTGGCATCCAGCGGAGTGGACAGAACACGGCTAGGAAGAGGCTGACTGAAACTGACACAAGCAGGATGAATTTCACCGAAAGTTCAGCTCAATACCGCCAGCGTTCCCATTACTGTAACGTGCTGTACCCATGGGTAAGGGCGAGAGCGCCCACAGCTGAAACGGGAAAACAAAAAAGTTTGCCCCAACAGCTGGGTTCCAAGCCCCTCCTCCCCGACAGGGCTCCTCTATCATCTGGGACCTGAGCATGCCCACCTGGGAGCCAGCACAGCGCCAGACACAGCCAGATGTGTGTCTCGGTTGTTCCTGGGCCGAGCTGAACGGAACTGGATGTGAAAGTTGCCGTAGGTAGGTGGCGGTATGGTACGTGGATTCAACACCCCGTGTGAGGCGCTGCCATTTAGCAACGATAAACCTTGATCTTTGTGGTTTGGGGGCACATCACCAAAGGCTTCACAGCCTCAACTTCGTCATCTTTAAAGTGGAGACTAGCTAGCTCACTGTCACCGTGAGGACGAAAGAAAAGCAACCTGCAAGAAGCGCTTAATGTACGATTCTCCATCGTGGCAGCTATTGCTAGATCACATACGAACTCGGATTGCTATGATGGCTGAGTAGAACTGAAGACATAAGAAAAACTGAATGAATATTCCACTAGCAGAAAAGTTACTGATACACTAGCTGCAGATCTCAAAATATTCATTTCTCTGGTATCATTGAAGTATGAGGTGGGAGTGTGGGAAGAGTTGAAAGCTGTTACCCCTTTAAATTTCCATCTCTGTTAAACCAAACCTGAAACCTGGGTTCATGTATCTGGAAGGTCTGCCGGGAGGATAATTTTGGCAGAGAGGAACTCAACTCTCTAAATGTGTTGACTGCAATAAAATTGGCGGTGGCAGTAATCAATCTCCATCAACTATGGCTGGGTAGACCAGTGTCTGTGCTGGTACTTCTGGAGAACCGATGACCTACTGTGTGCACTCCAGTAGAGAGGTCCCGTCCCAGCGTTCGTAGGACTTGAAGGTCTTTCTTCAAGGGCAAAAGGGTCACAGCTCCTAGAGGAAGGATCCACCCCATTGCCTAGTCCAGACCCATTTCGCTAGAAGAGGGCATGACACCAGGGAGTCCACAGGATCTCCGCCAACCTGGAGGAGGGGGCTCCTCAGACTCTTAACCATTCCCACTCACTGTCCTGGGGTCCCGAGAGCCGAGGATCAAGTTCCGCTGCGGGTGGGCATCCACAGCCCCGGAGGCAGTAGGTGCCCCCCTTCCCAAACCGCCCGTGGCCTACCCGCCGCGAGCGCTCCTCTCGCACCCCAGCTCCAGGCTCTTGACGCAGCTCGGGATCCCGGGTGTGCGCTGATCGCCCCCGGGAGTTCGGGTCCTGCAGCCTTGGGGGGCACCGGGTGTGCACCTGGGCGGGGCCGCATCCCCGGCGGCGCCCCCCGCCCCCGCCGTCTGGCCGCGCGCCGGGTCCCCGCCGCAGAGCCGGGGGAGGAGCGGCCGAGGCTGAGTTGAGACAGACCCGGCCTCGGCGCGGCGGCGGCGGCGGCGGCGGCGGCGGCGGCGGTGGTGGCGGCGGTGGCGGGACCCGGGCCACCAGCCCGACAGCACCGGCGCTCTCCTCCCCTCCCTTCCTTCCTCCCTCCCGTCAGCCGGCGGGGATCCCCAGCGAGCCGGGGAGGAGCCGCGGCGGCCGCCAGACAGGCTGCAAGTCCTGAGAAGGCGAAAGGGGGGCGGGGAGCTCCGGGAGCCAGCCCGGTGGCAGGTCCCTCTTAAAGAGCCACGCCGCGCCGTGTCGCGCCACCCGGAGCGCTGCCCCTCCCCCGCAGCCCGCAGGGCCGGTGGCCGAACTGCACGGTGGGCGGTCCCGCTCGCCCATCTAGGGGCTGCTGCAGGTGAGTGCCGCCCGCCGCGGTCTCTGCTTGTCTGGCCGGAGTTCACCTCTGAGCAGGGGCGGGAGGAGGGGGCGGGCAAGGGGCCGGGATGCCCGCCAGCCTGCGCCGGCGACCGCTGCCCTCCCAGCCCGGGCGTCCCCGAGACCCGCGCACCAGGTCTGTGTGGGCTGTGTCGCGGGTGGGCGCGGAGGGCGGCCGGGGCGCCTGGCCCATCCTCGGAGCGCTCGGCTGGCAGAGTCTTGCCAACCCGGACCCGGTGTCCTGGAGTGTCCCGCTGAAGCCGCTTCATCCTGCAGTGCCCAGGGGCCCGGGTGGGCACGGGGGGTTGCCTGCCCCAAGCGGCGACGCTCCTAGGCCTGTGTGCGAGCTGCTGCAGTCGTGGGGGGCTGGAGGTCAGCAGCGAGAAGGCGGCGCGGGAGCTTCCCCCTGCACCTTGCGCCCCGGCTCTAGGGCTCCAGGCTTCCCAGCCCTCAGACGGTCTCCCCGGGTCCCCCCCCCCCCTCCTCCCGCGCGCTTTGACGTCGGCCGCGGGCTGCCCGGGGCTCCTGGCATTGGCTGGCAAAGTCGATTGTCTGGGGCGGCTGCTGTTACACTTAGGCTGGGTCTCCGGGCCGGGAGGAAGCAGGCGTGTGTTGAATTTCTCTTTGACCCTCACGGTGGAATAAACAGGAAGCGGAGAGCACCCAGCCGGGCCCTGCACTTGCCTTTGTTGTGGGCTTTGCGCTCCGCAGGCTGGAGGAGGCTTCCCGGGACCCCTGCCCGGCGTGCCGTCTGGGCACGGCTGGGGGCGCGCCCTGTGAGTACGCTGCTGGGAGACAGTAGGCTCTCTGTGCGTTAACTCGCTGTGGTGCCACAGAGAGCATTTGCTTGCTTGTTTTTAAACTTTTTTTTTTTATGTTTTTTGTTTTTTTGTTTTTTTTTTAAATTGGAGGGTTCTCGGTGTGCAGAGGTTTCAGGACCACAGGGGCGCATGGTGGGTGGGCGTCATTCCAAGAGCCCACACCAGGCGCGTCTGTTCCGGGTTACCTGGAGAGGCATTGCCTTGGCCGGTCAGGACAGCAAGAAACTCGTTAAAACAAGTGGGGCTTCCTAGTTTCTGCCCCAGCACAGGGGTGACTGCCGAGTGTCAGTGGCCACATCAGTCAATATAATATTTTGTTTTTCCACAAAGACTCTTAATGAGCTAGAACGGATTATTTTGATTGGCTTTTCTTTTCCTCTGTGCCCGTTTCCTTCGTTTCCCCCCCCTTCTTTCTTTTCTGATTATTTTGCCACCTTGCCATCCCTGAACTCCTCACTAAAAGTTAATTATGACTGTGATATTTATTGGTGACCTTCTGTGTGTTAGGCATTGGGGTGTGAAGTGAGATGTGTGATCTTAAGAACCATGTTTGAGGTGGAGCAGAGTGCTGGAGTGGAGAGGTAGCTTCTAGTGGAAGCTGGCTTTCCTAGGATGCTGAGGCCCTGCTTTTCAGTCTTAGCACCAGGTGCAAAAAGCAGGGGCCTATGCTGGGTTAGCACTGGCAGCCTCACTTACAATGGCTCTTTCCATTAGTTTGGGTGTCCACAAACCTTATCCTCCTGTCTGCAGCTAACCTGGGCCTTCAGGACTACGTGCTGGATTTCATGGAAGGTTCTAGGAAGTATACACACGCCAAGCCAGGCCCCCATTTTGTATGGGAGAAGTTACAGTGTTTTCTTAGAGTTTAAATTCAGCTGATTGGCATTGCGAATCTGCCTTTGCACATTCCTTTTGGAATATAGAATATATGTTCTATAAAGGAACAATATCAAATTTGAATCATTACCCGGACAATGAATGGTTCTGAGTAGTACCCATATATCTTTATTGAATTTTAATATTTGTTTTCTGTCATGCCTGTGAAAGCTTAATTCTCTAAGAGATAACTTTGCCATTTATGTAGATCACAGTTAAGAATTAGAGCTGGGACTATAAATGTCAGTAAGGGATTTACTGTAATGGAATTGTAGCTGCCTTTCCTCTTGTTTAAACAACAACAACAACAACAACCACAATCACTCTAGCTTCTTAGCATTCTGCTCTTACCCCTGGAAGAGTTCACTGCCCATGTCTATGGTGCCAGTTCCTGTAGGTCTGTGTTTGTGTTGGAGAAGACTCTTGCCAGCAGGTATTTAAGGCTGTCTTTGAATCCTCTTGGGTGCTTGCTTTTCATGACCATGATCCTGCAGTGGAGCCCAGCCAGTGCCAGGTGCCTCTTAAGGGATTCTGTGGCAATCTGTTGGCACATCATTTGAGGTTCCACAGTCCCTCCCTGCCCTTCTCCATTGGAATATAGACATCCATAGGCAAATATTTATTTTCCCCCAACTGCTAACTGTTCTAAGAATAGTTTTCTTGCCTGGCATGTTGAGAGCAAGGACCCGTCTGCAGAGGTGTTTACAGCTTGGGTCTGTGCTGTAGTCTTGCTTGACTTAGCAGCCTGGCAGAGCAGCCCGGTAGCTCATGGGTCACTGTTTTTTTATCCGGGTTGCTGGAGGGGTGGATTCCTCCCCTGGCAGGGAAGCAAAGAGAGGGAAGGATGACTTTTGTTCCCCATGGGTAGTTTCTGGCTGTCTGGCAAGTAAAGACCCCCAAACTCTGGATCCCTGCGCAGGTACCCCGGATTTCCAGTCACTTTATTGTGGTATGTAGGATTGTCCTATATCATCATATAAAGCCAACGTCCATAGGATTCTGAGCAGGAATACCCCAAAGTGTGTAGACTGGTTAAATCTTTATAGAAACTTTCCTTGGTCATGTTTCCTCTTTTCTTTCTGCTGAATCTGGGCTTGTGGAGTCTCTAGCCTATGTGTCTCCTTTGAGTTGATGGCGAAAACTCCGAAAGTAACAGGAGTGTAACATTTTAACCTGGAAAATGTTAGAGTTACTCAACATGATTCAGGTGGACCCATGAGGTAAATGTTAGTGGTGGCAAACAGCAGTGTTCCTGGGTTACCTTACTTTTCTTCGTCCCTCCATCTCTCCTCAGCTCACTTTCCTCTGCTTCCTCAGTCCTTCCCTTTTGTAGAAAAATCTCTCAGAAGCCAACATTTCTCTGATGTCCAAGTTACTTTCTGCCAGCATGGGCTGTGTTAGATGGGAATTACATCTTGACCTATATTATGAGTGTACACGAGAAGTGAATGGTGAGTTTTAAAATAAGAACAGAGGGGTCTGGGGAGATGGCTCAGTCAGTCAGATGCTGGGCATGCAAGCACTAGGACCCGAGTTAAGATCCCTGTAGAAGCCAGTGCTGAAGGTTCAGAGATGGGCAGATACTTGGAGCTTGCTATCCAGCCAGTCTGCATGAGTTGGTGAGCTCTAGGTTCAGTGAGAGACCCTGACTAAAAAAATACGGTGGAGAGAGATGGAAAAAGACCTACCTGATGTTGACCTCTGGCCCACACATCCGTGCACACACACACAAACATATACACATGCATGCCTCCACCTCACACAAATAGGAATAGGAATTCTGCATACTACTTGAATTTTATAATCCCAAGACCTGCCACTTCTGGGGAAGACTGTGTATGTGTGTGTATGTGTACGTGTTCGAGTGCGCACACATGTGCTCCTGTGTGCATGTGTACCATTGCTTGTATTCATGTTTGGCAACAAAAGGAAATAAGCAAACGCCTGTACTGCTCATGGCTATAGATTATATTGGGTTCAAATTTCCAATTAATGTTGGTTTTCCTCTGTTGCAGGAAGACTTGAGAATAATGTCTGTTTTGATACATATCCATTTGATTTGAATATGGATTGCTTTTCTTTGAATTCCTACTAAAAATGGTACTTTGGCCTTTTTAAGCTGTTTTCGTAAGGACTTTTCTCTCCACCAAGCCTGTTTTCCAGCTAGGTCTTGGAAATTATGAAGAATGTAATTTCTTCCTTGATTGGCAGCTGAGAGCTTTCCTGGACAAAAATAAGGCTCTACTGTGCCAAATGGTTGACTTTTCTAGAATAAAAACTCTAAAGAGTATGCAAAAAGTCTTCTGGTTAATATATTGGCATTCCCAGAACCCACTAAAACCCTGACAGCCTGCCAGCATCCACTTAATGAGGACGCAGAATGTCTGGCTCGAATTCCCATGAGTAGACCGAGGTGGGGGCTGGATGTCCACACCCTTTATTAATTTTTAATGACTATATTTTTGTTTTGCAGATTTTGCTTCAGTACCCCGGTACCCTCACAGCTGACCCCATATCGCACCCCCACCCTATTCATTTATTTACTTGGTGTAGGAAAAACAGTGTGGTGGTGGAGATCATTGACAGGTCACTTCTGACTGCTTGGGTCCTTTTGTGGCTGATTTTCTTTCTCGTTCTTCCTTAGTTTTTGAAAAAGGAAAGAGAGAGAGAGAGAGAGAGAGAGAGAGAGAGAGAGAACCGAAAAGATGACAACTTTTTTTTTTTTAAATGATGCTTTGTTGTCTGTTGGGGAGAGAGAGGCATTTATGAAACTTTTAAGTTTGTCAGACAGTTTATATGACAGTGCAAGTTGGTGCTTGCCAAGCTCCAGACAGATTGTTAATGTTACGTGACAGGGATAAATACATTGCTGCTGTCTGCAACGCGTCTGCACTGCAAACCCTCAGTGCAGCCCGGCTGACTCTGTGCTGCTCCTGGGGCCTGGTTGAAGTACAGCTGCGCGGGAGGCCTCTGCCTGCTGCCTGGAGTGCTGGGACTTGGTTGAGAGGTGAAAAGGGTGTGTCCCTCACTTTTATTTCGGGCCGTACAGCAGAATCCACTTAACAAATCTCTGTCTCCCCCCATTATTATTATTATTATTATTATTATTATTATTATTATTATTATTATTATTATTTTTAAGCTGTCCATCCCTGTCTCTATCTTGGTCTTCTGGTCTATATCCACACTCTTCTTCCCAGGAAAGCGAAGCATTCATAGCTGCTCGGAGCCTGAGGTATTCCACAGCCCAGTTCCAAGCTGTTTACAGTTGGGGCCTTTATGCAGGTACAGACACCAAGCACCGACTGTCTGCCGGAGATGGGTGTACGCTGTCTGGAAGGGGGTTGGGTGGCACTCCTTGGGCATAATGTACTTTTATCGTGGCAGTTTGGCGACCCAGCTGGCAGAGTGACAGGTGTAATGAACTTAATGGTCTTGC